ACCGAATGGAACCGCGAGAACCCTGAGTTAAGGGTTTAGGGTTTAGGGTTTAGGGGAGGCTATAGAGGTGTGTTGGGATTTCGGGTTCCAAGGGCACCTAATCGAGAGGGGATGGGTCTCCCTGGCAGACGTTCGTTAAACTGCTGAGACACCGAATCCTTCCGTCTCTCTGTTCCGGAGCTGAGCCTAACATCTAAACCCCAGGCCCGAACATTGGGTTTCCGGGTGCCTGGGAGAGGTCCCTCTTCTGCATGTTTAGGGTTCAGGGGCTTAGGGCCAGGTTAGGGTGGTTTAGGGTTCAGGGTGTGGGGTTTATGGGTGTAGAGGTTTAGGTCCAGTTTAGCGGTCGGGGTCTATTGCTTATCAGGAATCCTAAGAAGCAGAAATACCTATTATTCAGGCCCCTATACGGCCGCAAAAGCCGCGCACAAAAACATCTCTGGTGGTGTTGCAAGGTGCACAAGGTTTGTACTGCATAAGTTAAATGCCAAGCTGGTATAGACACTGTAAAAGCCTGGCAAGGCATCACATTTCACAAAACCCTGTCAAATCCCTTACCACCCTTAAGACGATCAACAACCCATATATATATATATATTTATTTATTTATTTATTTATTTATTTATTTATTTATTTATAGAGAGAGAGGCCTTTTAAAGTACGTAGGAAAGGTAGTAGGTTTAGGGGTTTAGGGTTTAGGGGTTAACGTTGTCCTGAGCAGAACGAAAACCACTAGTTGTGCAGAAGTCTGAGCTGCCCGCGCTGGCCCAAGTGTAGGCAACCTGCCATGCGAATACAAACTGAGCCTTATATTGAAGCCTGAATAATTTCATTAGCCATATAATTCCCTAAAGGGTTCCATGTTATAGCTACAGCAGTACTATAGACTCATAGTAAATAAGTAGGCCTCGTAAGGCTCGTATATGAGGGTGCGGTTCAGGATTGAGTGTGCAGGTTGATGACTTGCACCTAGGTAGTTCTCCAAATTGGGGTCCCTTTTGGGGTCCTTTTTGTAAGGGTGCCGTGCTATATTGGGGACCCAAAAAGGGACCCTAATTTAGAGAACTACCCACCTAGTGATTGGTGGTTCTTGCATCAAGAAAGCAAGCAGAAGGGATAGCTTTCCATTACTACAAGCCCCCGAACACTAGAAAACCCTAAAACCCTAAACCCTAAACGCTATAAATAACCCCAAAACCCTAAAACCCTAAATCCTTAACCCCTAAACCCCTAAATCCTAAACCCTAAATCCTAAACCCTAAACCCTAAACCGCTGAAGGCCCTGAGCCCTGAAGAGATGATCCGCCATTGGAGCCTGCTGGTCCCAGGCGTAGTTGAACTGCCGAGCACCTTGCTTTTGACTTAAAACTATCGGATCTAGGGCTTAGGGTTTAGAGATTTAGGATTTAGGGGTTTAGGCGGTTTAGGGTTTAAAGGTTTAGGGTTTACAGGTTTAGGGTTTAGGGTTTAGAGGTTTAGGGTTTAGAGCCTTAGGGTTTAGGGCTTAGGGTTTAGAGGTTTAGGGTTGAGAGGTTTAGGGTTCAGGGTTTAGGGTTTAGAGGTTTAGGGTTTAGAGGTTTAGGGTTTAGAGGTTTAGGGTTTAGAGGTTTAGGGTTTAGAGCCTTAGGTTTTAGAGCCTTAGGGTTCAGGGTTTAGGGTTTAGAGGTTTAGGGCTTAGAGCCTTAGGGTTCAGGGTTTAGGGTTTAGAGGTTTAGGGTTTAGAGGCCTAGGCTTTAGGGCTTAGGAGGGTCCCGGGCTTAGTCGTCGGATCCTAGTTGGAAGAGGCCCATTGTTGTGCAGGGGAGCCCTGCGGAAATGGGTGATGGTAGCACTAGCCTTTGAAGTAGACCGAGAGAAAAAAGGGATAGACGTTAATTTCATAATGGTTCTTTCACACGGGCGCTGAGTCAGCAGTTCTAATGGTTCCCTGAAGGAACAAGTCCCAAAGAAAAGTCTAAACCCTACACCCTAAATCCTAAACCCTAAATCCTAAACCCTACCCCCTGTTCTCTTAAGGAGCAGGTCCTAAAGAAAAGTCTTCAAGTATGGTACTCCAGAACCCAGAGCATGAAAACTGGTGAACGGTTCAGCCTCAATTGAACACCTCCGTGCTCTGCTGTTGCTTCGCGATTTCTTGGGAATGTGATCCTTAGGTTTCAAGGGTTCAGAGGCCACTCACGAAACAGGCGATGCAAAGAACGTTTGTTCGCACCATGGCATAACCACCAATTCCGAAATTCATCCAAATTCCTAAACTCTCTCCTCTCTAAGCTATATATCTCATACTCCTTAAATGCTTTATAAGCCCCGTTTGATCTAATTTTGCCTGTTCAGCACCGAGTTGGACTTGTGCGATGGTAAAACCCAAAATGCAACTACTAAGCACCCCCCCTCCCGAAAACATACAACTAAATCCAATCTCCCGAAGACCCTTGGCCCTAAAAGCTGTAACATTAAACCGTACCTCAGAACCCAGGGTTTACCCATAGGCCCCATAGTAGTTCCTTTCTGTGGCTTATAGTTAGGATCCTATTAGGTAATCCCAAAAAGGAACTACTATGGGGCCTATGGGTAGGGTGCCTGACCCCTAAACTGCCCGAGGCCGAGGCCGTAGTCGTGGTTGCCGAGGACGGAGAGCCAGGGCTTTCCAGCCAGAGACCCAGAGTAGACCCAGTTGAAGGCCTCGCTGCTCCGTCGGTTTAGGGTTTAGGGGTCCTAGGTAGTGTTATGGGGATACTTTGCCAAATCATAATCAGGATTCCGAATACAGAAACCCTACATTCTACCATACAGGTACTTCGGACGGGGGTTTGAGTCTAGTTTAAGGTTTAGGGGCCCATAGAATTTAGTTTGGGGTCGAAGCTTTGGGTTCACCGCTCCCTGCGCAGCTACCTATGGGGACATACCCTAATTACAGCTTTTAAGTGTGCTTACACGTTTATGTAGGAGATCCTAACCATGGAACTAGATACCCCAAAAAGGGGTGTAGGGTACGGTCGATGCTATAAACCCTGCATTACTCATAGTAGGGAATCTAACAAAATTCTCACAGTTGAGGGTCCTTAAGGTAATGCAGGATCTATATCATCAACAGTATGACCCTCTAGATAAGGTTTAGAAGCTAGGGTTTGTGAAGCCTTCTGTAAGGGTGTAGGGGCTCCTTTAGACGTTGCCGCCAAAGCCCCAGACTAGACCCAGTTTGAAGGCCTCTTGCCCGTTGCTATCACAACTCCCAGAGGATAGGCACGTACTTCTACAAGGGCACCACAAGGTTGCAACATGTTTAGTCAGATTGGGGTCCCGTTTAGGGTTCCTTACAGCGGTCTATGGTTACAGGATCAGGAGGCAAGCACCTTTGATTAAGGGCGACATGTCTTGCGACCTTCACGCGACCTGTGAGGGACATCATCCCCTAAGCCTAAATCCTGATCCTCAAACACTAGCCAGCTTCCGGCACCTGAGCTCAAGCCCAAAACATGGAACCGGGCAGACGCCTAAAACGCAAAACCTGACCCTAAACCCAAACAAGGACACGCATACAAGACACAAGCCCTACCTCTTCCCCGCTCCCCTCCGGAAAGTTAACCTCGCAAAGAACTGGAACATTAACCTTGTGTAGGTACTTAGAGTGTGCGGAGGATTTATCGCCCATAAACAAATCCTTCAAAACCTTAATGTAACTGCCTGAGTAATTACTTCTATGAGAATAGGGTAATAGTGGCATTATGCTGCAACCATGGTACTAGCAAGAACCCTACGGGATAGTGTCGTATTGCTATTTAGTATGGAGGCTTCTATATCCGGGCCCTAAACCCCAAACCCTATAACCCTAGAAACCCTGAACCCTCTAACCCTCTAACCCTATAAATCCTGTAACCTAAACCCTATAACCCCAGCCTATAAACCCTCTACAACCTAAACCCTCTAACCCTCTAACCCTATAAACCCTTAACCCTAAGCCCTTCAGCTTACTTCCCCAATAAGCCAGGGAAATAAAAACGAAACTTTCAGATTGCTACTAAATTAAAAGAACCCTATAACCCCATAACCCTCTAAACCCTAAACCCTCTAACCCTATAAACCCTTAACACTGAAAGTTTGCTACTAACTTATAAAGAACCCAAAAGGTTAAAAGGCTGGGTATTGGAAAACTGAGTCAGGCCCTCAAAAACCCACGGGATCCGGCCTTCTCGAATTGGACCTTGGTGGCCTCTTTGATCTGGTTCATGGGGTTTCCGCAGCCCGTGTTCATGCCCTCAGGCTGCACAAGGTTCCGGGTTTAGGGTTTAGGATTTTGGGTTTGGGGCTTAGGGTTTAGGGTTTAGGATTTTGGGTTTGGGGCTTAGGGTTTAGGATTTTGGGTTTGGGGTTTAGGGTTTAGGATTTTGGGCTCGGGGTTTAGGATTTTGGGGTTTAGGGCTCATGGGTTTT